AAATATAACTCAAGTGAGAGGCAAAATAACATTAATTTTTATTCAAATGAGTTGAAATACTATTTATAGGCCTCCACCAAACCCTAGAAATAAATGCATGAAAATCCTATAAATTTTAATATTAAATAAAAAGATAACAGTAAATGAAAATATAATAATAAATGTTAAACTATAATAATAATTTAAATTAAAAAATATGTGTAATTAATATGAGAGCAAAATATCTTCAATCTTTAAATCTACAAAATCTTTGTAACATCTTTAATTTTTTTTTATTTCTTTCCATCATTTAATTGATGCAAAATTGTGAAGGAAAAGGGAGAGAATATATAAAAAAAAAAAGAAAGAGATCAATAGAGAGAATAGAAAGAAGAGAAAACTCAGAGGAGATGCAAGATAATAATAATTCTTATTCAGTCAAATGCACGTACAAATCAAATAATTTGAGATGCTATTTATAAACCTTAACCGAACCCTAGAAATAAATACACAAAAATCCTAAAAATTCTAAAATTAAATAAAAAGATAACAATAAATAAAAAATAATAATAAATATCAAAAGATAATAATAATTTAAATTAAAATAAAATATACATAATTAATATGAGAGCAAAATATTTTTAATATTTAAATCTATAATATCATCATAACATCTTTAATTATTTTTTTTTCTATTTCTTCCCATCACCAAGGTAAACTCATCTATGTACGAAATACAAAGGAGAATTATGTCGAAGAAGTCATCCCACGTTATTCTTTTCTAGCTCTTCAATCATCCCTTTCTTTTTTTTTAGTAAGTAGTTTTAACTCAAAAAAGAAATCTTAGAATGGCCGACTTAGCATCCCCGCTCACTTGTTGTCCACGTGTATCATGCAAGGATAATATTGACAAAAAGGTTTCGTCAAATAATGCAGCTTAATTAGCGAGGAGAAATCCAAATTAATCTAGGATATTGGTAGGAGGACTGGAAGGGTATTATTGAGCTAGTTTGAGGGCAAAACTGAGAGCTCATGACATCAACCTTTTCAGCCAAAAAACATAGCCAGAGACAAGTTTAATTTGGCTGATCAATGGTTTCCTTTTCAAAGATAGACATCGTTTTCTTTTGCTGCTTGAGATAAACTGGCAAGTGGCAAGAAAATCTTTCGTGCCAAGTTGAGATGCAAAATTAATGAAACAAAGTGGGAGTGGTTTTGAAAAGGTCCATGCGTGCATTTCCTCTGGGTCAATTTGTTAGGTGAAGTATTTCCAGTCTTTCAACATTTGAACCAATTAGTCACAAACCATTGCATTGTTGCATAGAATTTGAAAAATGGTCTCACAAGTTTGAATTTCAAAATTTTTCAGCAGCTTGCATAATTTATATAGCAAACAAAAATTACTTAATACTTAATTTAGATAATACTTGGATATCATTTTAAACCAAGTTGTGTTTGAGACTGTTAGTCTAGAGTTGGGTGCCCATTCTTGTTTCACTTGTGGGTCTTGGTCTGGCTAGGCAGTTAAATTCGTCCAACTCTTCCCTCGAAACAAAATCCGGTCCCACCCGACTTGATCAGCTGGTGATGGGATGGGAGCAAACCAAACTTTAAGTTGATAGCTAATCAGATTATTAAAGCAACAACTCTACCCTTTTTCCGTTCATTCATGTATTTAAAATTTCAATTACTCGCGAACTGCACATCTCTTGTTTTATACGCCGAAAAAGTTGATATTTTTATTTTATGATAACTTTATTATGTTTTATTTATTCCGCCATTTCTGTGGGCAAAGCCTTGCGAACTGTGAGGTTAACTGTCTAAAAACCCGCACAGTAATTCAAAAATCCGACATACAGAACAGAAAATCACAGAGCGTAAGTTTAAAAGTATAATATAATGAATTATATATGTATATGTAGCACGACACGCTACCCCACAACCAAGGCAGGAAGTGATCATTATTTTATATATAGTTAGTATATGATCCCATGTTTTCTCTAGGGTTGGGCACACAAAACTATGGTTTTACATGTTAAATGTGTTTTTACATTTTTATATACCAGAAGTAGCTATTAAATTGTGAGTGAGAAATGTACCAGCTGCGGACTTGGTTTCCTAATTTCCTTCCATTTAGTTTCTCTTCTTTTTCTTTCTACTTCATATCCTAACTATTGAATTTATTTTTAAGTGGTTGAGATTTAATATTTTGTAATATTATTTTTTAATTTTTTAATTATAACCATAGATCTCAATCATTGTATATTATATTTGAATGCATGTGGATTTTGATTTGAATTTGAGCCAAATACATTATTGTATAATTAAAAATGTGAAATCCAAATTTGAACTCAATGATTTTGTAATTTTAAATCATTTTTAAATCCATATTATTTTACATTTTTATGAAAGCTTCCCTCTTTGTGTTCGTTCGTTGACATTGCTGCCTCCTTAACTTCAAGGTTGGACCATCGGCACCAACCGAGATCGGACAACCAGCTTTTACTAGGATTGAATGGATGGCACTAACTAGAACAAGACTGGACTGCCGGTAATGATTAGGGTAGGACAGCCAACAACAACTAGGATTGAGTGGCCAACTTTGACTAGGACTAAATGAACAACACCAACCTGAATGAGATCGCAATCGTCGATTGAGATAGGATCGCTTGGAGCCAACTGAGATCAAACCATTGATGACGACTAGGATTGGATCATCGGTGTCAACCTGAATTAGACTGTTGAAGTCAACTGGGACAAGACAATCGACTTTGACCCGTGATCAAATGATCAGCTTTAATCTGGATTGGACTGCCAACACTATCTTGATCCAGATTGTCAGTGCCTAATAGGACCGAGCGAATAGCACCAATCATGACTAGATTGCTAAATCGCTAGAGACAATAGGAACCTAATTGTCGGAGATGATTGGGACTTGCCACCAGTGTTGATCGGGATCAAATGAACAGCTTTAATCGGGATTGGACGGCTGGCTTTGACTAGGATTGGACTACTAGCGTAGACCTATACTAGACCACCTATGACGATCAAGACCATCCTCCTCTGTCACTTGGTGCTTGTTCGTCGTCATTTGATGTCAATCTAGTGTTGTAATGTAGTGTCAGTCCTCTACCACCCTTTGGTGTTGGTCCATCCTATCCAATTGATGCTTGTCCGTTGTCACCATTTAAGATTTGTTTGTGATCACCATCTTCGATCCGTCCACCTTTGTCATCCAACACCAAATGACGTTATTAACGAGGAATGGTCTGGTGTCATCATTTAGGTCCAATCTATATCCCTTATATTGTTGTAATCGATGGTTGGAGTCAATCAAGATCGAGCTACCACCTCTGATTTGGATTGAACCCCTAACTTTGACTAGGATCGGACCACTAACGTCGTCCGAGTTTTTTTTAAATTTAAATATAGAATTTAAAATTTAGAATTTTATTTAAGATCAAAACAATAGATTTTAATATTATAATTTAAAATTTTTTATATGATCCAAACAAAATTTTTTAAAATGTATGAATTTTAAATGTGAGATTTTTAAATTTAAATTTACAATTAAATCTATCAATCCAAATACAATTTTAAATTAGTTATATTTTAAATTTATTTATTTTTTATAAATTTTATGAAATATTAAATTTTAATTGTTCAAAAGAAAGTCTAAAAGTTAAGATGAAAAGTGGGAAGAAAGTTTTTTTTTTTGGGGGGGGGGGGGGGAGAACTGCAATGCCATGTGATTTGGCATTTAAAAGGGCGAGCAAGTTTAACCTTTATTGAGGAGACGCCCAAACGATTCCTTGTTTCTAATGCTCTTGTGTACGATGATTAGAATGATGTAGTTTTCAAACCATTTTACTAATATTTTTATTTTCATGCATGCTGGAAAAGAGCTGCTTCAATTGATAACCCATTTGGAAATATACCAGCTGTCTCATTTTTCCCGGAGCTGTGAGGAAAATACGCGTAGCCATCCGCGACCGAGGACACTTGCTGACATGTTCGTGCACACGTAATAACAAATTATCATGAGATTTCTTTATATTATTATTTCCAGTGTTTTTGTTCCATTTTAATCAGCATATATCTTTACAGTATATCATAATAATCATATATTGTAATGTTCATTGTTTAAAAATAATAACGAACGGAGCTGTGATTCATCTCCTCAAATTTTTAATTAAAGCAATATAGGAGTGCATGAGCGGGTGCGGGACGGACACTCGCACAAAATGCCAGGTTAAATTTTACCTTAGGATACAAATTAATAGAGTTCAATCGATTCAATAAATAAATTATATTTATAAATTAAATAAAATTCACGTGATGAAAAATTATGAAAAAGAGAGGATGTAATTTTTAATGTTCAGACTTTCATGGTAAAAAAAAATTCCGAACATAACTGTTTTAAAATTCTAAATTTTATTAAAATAAATATATTGAAGAAAGGGAAATTCCAAGGAAGTGGTGAGAGTATGACTGGCTGTTTTGTTCGTTGGTGAAAAGAATAAAAGTGAAATAGATTAAAGAAATAAAGACAAAAAATAAAATGGTCAAAATGTAAATAGAAAATGTATCAATCATGCTTATAATAATTTACATATGAAATTAAAAATTATAATTTATGAAGTCTGTTATGAAAGGTGTGATAATTTTTATATTTATAGTATGTGACATTGATTTTTACCATAATTATTATAAGGAAAGAGTAATTTTATTTTATTTTATTTTTTAAAAATTTATTTTATTCTCATTCTTTTCGGTAACTAATAAAATTCCTACATATATCCTTGTTTGTTTTTGGTACAATAATGTATCCATACGCTGTATCATACATTATCAATCCGTTCTTGTTGGTCGTTGGATCCATTACATAAAGCTTTGGACTCAATGGGCGCCTTTGGTTGGGTTGCATTGGTCCATCATGTCATAGCCTCCAGCTGGAGCCCAGTGCCTTATAAGTTATCCGATTTAAAAACAAAAGAAAAAGAAAAATAAAATTATTTTATTTTCATCATTTTCTTTTTCGCCTGTTGATTTCCTTTCTTCCCGGGGCGCGTTCTCGTTCTCGATCCCCTGGCTTCATTACGTCCATCAATTCCTGCAATTCAACTCAGATCTGCAACCAGCCGATCACGTCATCGTCTTGTGAAGATGTACGGCTTTGAAGCTCTTACTTTCAACATTCACGGCGGTTACCTGGAGGCTATCGTGCGAGGACACCGTGCTGGGTTGCTGACCGCCGCCGATTACAACAATTTGTGTCAATGTGAGACCCTTGACGATATTAAAATGCATCTTTCTGCTACCGAGTACTGTCCTTACCTGCAGAATGGTGCGTTGGAGGATTGAATTCAAATTTTTTTTTGGTCCACTATAGCAATTTTAACTTTTTGTTTCTCATTGTCTTCCACTTAAGATTTTATCTAAACTGGAACTAGAGTGAATTAAACTTCAAATTAGGCAAGTGGCTTTTTGATTGATTCTTTCTTTCTTTTTTTCAATTTCAAGTTAAAATAGCTATTTGTTAAGATGTTGATGATTCTCGTTGTTTACTCCCCCCACTTCGTTTTCTTGTTACGGTGAATTTCTGTCTTTTATACTCTTCATCAGTTCTAGAGATCTGTATAGAGTCAATTGCCTTTATACAACTTCAATGACGACATCACGAGACCATTCATGGTGATGGATGCTTTTTGCCCAACTTCGCTGAGAACTTGTTTACTTCTAATTTTATGTAACTGAGATTTTGAACTATTATTTCCATGGACTCCGTTCCTTCATCCGTTGTTGAGGGAAGACTTGTGTCCTTGGCGGGTACTTTTGCTCACATTGTTTCTTTTCCTTATGTGTCCTGCTTAAAGAGCTTGTACTTGTTTGTACGGGACGGAAGATAAGACATCTCTCGTGATAAAACTTTTGAATAGAAATGAAACTACCAGATCCTAGTTTTGATTTTCCCATCAATTGAGATATTATCTCTTTTTCTGCTCAGTGTTTTCTATTCTATTAAAGTATTCAAGAGGGGGTTGGATCTAGTGAAAGGGGCTAATCTTTCACAATGTATGGAATAGATTTAAATCCTTTATAGGAGAGATGCTCACATTTAGTACCCAACCGTGCTTTGAATAGAATCACATCTAATAGAAGGTACCTGTGTGCAATCAAAGAGTATTCAAGAGCTTAAAATCACTTGTTTATGTTGATGATTTACCTTTTACAGAGCCTTCTCCATTGCATACAACCACAATTGTGGAGAAATGTACTCTTAAACTGGTGGATGACTATAAGCACATGTTGTGCCAAGCCACAGAACCCGTGTCAAACTTTTTAGAGTACATCACGTACGTCAACTTCAATTTTCTTTCCAATCTCTCATATCTACTATTATTTTTTTCGTTGTAATTCTTTTGAATCTTATAAATGTTGATATATATAAAATTTGAGATATAAATGATAAATATTCTTGTAAAATTTAGACACACCAGATTGTTACGAGGTGATTTATGTGTTAATACCAAATCATGGAAACCTCAATCACTAAGGAACTAGCCAAGATTTTTGGAAACTTGCTTAAATCTTTTGTGGAAAATTTGATTCTAATCGGATTGGGATTGGGTTGATAAATTTTCTGCTGCATGTCCTTTCTATTTAAGAAATCTTTTTCCTAGATAAAGCAGAGTAAAAGGGGAAAACAGACACCAATATGCCTTTTGTTTTTTTTTCCTGCAGCTATGGTCACATGATAGACAATGTCGTTTTGATTGTCACTGGCACGTTGCATGAAAGAGACGTTCAAGAATTATTAGAGAAATGTCATCCACTGGGCATGTTTGACAGGTATAATAATTTCAATACTTAGTTTGGAACCATAACTGTGTAAGTGCCCATAATTATAATTAGATTTTGGTTCTCTCCAGCATTGCTAGTCTAGCAGTTTCTCAGAATATGCGGGAGCTTTACAGGCTGGTGCTTGTGGACACTCCTCTTGCCCCATACTTCTCTGACTGCATTACATCAGAGGTTAATATGGCTACCTAAATTCTTATTGCTCTTAAATTTTTCAAGAGATTTTTGGTCTATGGCAAAATTGGGAACATTTTTTATATTCTGAATCGCCTTCTTCACATCTCATTTGTTGTAATAAAAGTAGTTTTACTTCAATAAGGTGGTCAAGAAATTTCTGATAGCTTGCTCTCAGCGCTTGTATTGATGAAAATTCTACATCCTCACATTTTTCTAGAAATCACATGTACATGTATAGGTCTATAAATGTGTTGAACTGATTTAAATTGATCAAGCACATTCAATTAAAATAAAGGAAGCTCAATTTTGAGCTTCATCCACGTTGCTTTATATATCATTGCAGAGCTGGCAATTTCCTGGATGCATGCTCATGGACTTCTGCTGATTGCTCTTACTTCTTGTGTATGATTTCTTTCTAGGACCTGGATGATATGAACATTGAAATAATGAGGAACACTCTTTATAAGGCATATCTTGAAGACTTTTACAAATTTTGTCAGGTGAGTGCACAAGAGCGTTTTTCAATACTCTATAGACGTGTTCCCTCTTTTCCCATTTTTTGTGGTTTAATGAATTTCGATATTGTATTTGGATAGAAACTTGGTGGTGCCACATCTGAAATCATGTCTGAACTTCTAGCTTTTGAGGCTGATAGAAGGGCTGTGAATATTACCATAAATAGGTAGTTGAAGTTAGGGTTTTACATAATTTTATCACTTTAGATATTTTTATCACTGATTTTGATGTTTTTCACTTTTTCACTATTGGCAGCATTGGTACTGAACTCACTAGAGATGATCGTAGGAAATTATACTCTAATTTTGGTTTGCTGTAAGTTCTGATCTAATTTTATTGTTGAAAATGGAAGTATATGTGTTGCTTTGGAATGATTTTTTGGCTAATGGCTGACTTGATCGGGTTCCCTTATGGTCATGAGGACCTTGCTGTCTGTGAAGACATTGATCAGGTATATTTTGCATCTCAACTGGGTGATGGTTTGAGTAGTTTCATCGGTGGATCTAAGTGGAATGTTCTGCGATTTTTTTTTTTTCCCTTTTCCATTTGTAATTTTTACTTGATTTTGGCCATTGATTTCACGGCCTTCTTTGTATAGTTCACTGTCACTCTTTCTGTATCTATTCTTTGTATTGCCAATCATTATAATAGTGGGCTGGAGACACTTATATTTCTACTTGATGGCTTTAATTGTGATGCTGTTTTGGGCCTGAGATCCCAGTTTTGATTGCTGGTTTAGGTTCGTGCAGTGATGGAAAAATATCCCCCTCATCAGTCTATATTTGCTAAATTGTCGTATGGAGAGAGGCAGATGCTTGACAAGGCATTCTATGAGGAGGAGGTGAAGAGGCTTTGCTTAGCGTTTGATCAACAGGTTTGTATTTCACTTTTTCTATGGGTACTGGTATTTCTGGCTTCAGTCGAGTATTAGTTAGAAAAGGAATAGCACCAATGGATCTTTTATAGGTCCTGAAGGAATAATTTCACATTGTCTGGGTAAGTCCTACTCTATTCTGAACTGCCCTGTTTCGTCTATTTGGCAGTTCCATTATGCTGTGTTTTTTGCATATATGAGGTTAAGGGAGCAGGAGATTCGGAACCTAATGTGGATTTCAGAATGCGTTGCTCAAAATCAAAAGTCCAGAGTACATGATAGTGTTGTCTTCATATTTTAGCTGGAATATGCCAAATTAGAAATTTTGTATTTTATATTTTAATGCATAATTGGCTGTAAATCATTGATGGTGTTCTCCGCCTCAATTGCCAATGGGATGCCGCTTCTTGTTGCCTGTTGGGAAGATTGTTCAACAAATAAGTATAATTCTATAGTTCTATAGCGATCCTTTTCAATCTGCAGGAAAGATTATTATATTTTTATTTTGTCAAGTATTTTGCGAGTTTTGAGGATATTAAATTTGCATGTTGTTTTACCAGAAACAGTTATTGGAAATAAACGTTATGTAATTATGGCTATTTATCAACCATCAGTCCGAAGGCTAATTGATACTGAGATAACATACAAAACAAAACAAGCTAGAACAATTTTCAAGGCTGGATAAAGGTGCTTCAGCATCCCTGTGACCCAGGCCCACTGCTATTGATTCTGGTATATTATTTATATCGACAATGGTACTATCTTGCGAGCGTTATAGGGCCATGACATCATGTAATGGCCTCATGGTCCTGGTAATGGTTCGTGATGATAAATTTAAGGGAATCAAATGCTAACGTTACTTTTAAGTAAAAATCTTGGAATATTTTATTTTATTTTCTGTTTTTATTCAATTAATTAACTACATGAATAAAATGATAAATAAATAATATAGGTATTTTAATTTTATTCATTTTTTTTTTCATTTTTACATGTAATCATTCTTTGCAGTGCACAAATGGGAGGAGAGGGAACGGTGAAAGTTCGGTGTCACCTCAACTGCTTAATTTTCCATTGGTTAAAAAAAAAAAAACGGGAACACTTTGTTAGAAAATGAAAATAAAAGGCCAAAAATAAAATACCATTATTCAAAAGGTAATGTCAGCCAGAAATTTTCTTTTTTGTAAATTCCACTGAATATAAAAGAAATTCGCATTATTTGAGCTTTAAATAATTTATTTAATATAACTTTAATTATATATAATATATTGTTAAAGTTTATACTGATATATCTGCCAAATCTAGTTTGAAGCAATATATTAATATCCTGAGTTACTCCCTCTGCTTTTTTTTTTTTTAGAGGAAAGATTAATGGTACAAAATCTAACTTAATTTGTAAGAGATTATAAAGTATTAATTACTATATATAAAAAATACCATTTTTTCTTTATTACAGATGAAATATGTTTTTAATATTCACAATATTTATAAGGAGCAAATATGAAAACTAAAATAATTTTTGAACAATTTGAATTATTTTTTTCAGGTTTGAGAGAAATAGTCCTTTTTGTTTTTTAATTAAAATATACCTTCAGTCCTTTAATATTATCCAATATTTCATTTGGATTTTTTAATTTTATAAAATATTTTTAGTTCTCTAACCTTTAACACCATTAATTTTATTACAAGAAATTTTACATTTAATTTTTAAATATTAATAAAATATTATTAAATGTTAGACATATTAAGTTTATTTTTTTAAATAATAATAATTAATATAAAAATAATTATTTAATATTAATGATGTTAAAGTCAAAGCAGAGACGGACCTACATATGCTAGAAGGGGCAATTGCCCCCGCTAGATAAAGAGAAAATTATATATTATGCTCCAAAAATTTCAATTAGATTCCTTGAAAATTTTCATTTGCCCCCACTTTTTTTTAAAAAAATTAATCATTTGCCTCATAAATTTTGACTCCTATAGAATTCATTTAATCTAGATAATTATTTATGTATGATAATCTTAAATAAAAATTGTTTTGAACGGAGGGAAGAATAATTTAAAGAATAAATTTATTTAATTATTTAAATGAAAAAATTGTCTGAAATTTTTTCCTCTAATGTACAAAGGGAAATAAATAAATTTTATTTAGTAAATAATAAAATTAAATACAATATTATTTTTTAGTATTTATGAAAACCATTATTGTATAAAGACGTTACAATTTTCATATTATTATAATTTTATATTTTATGAATTGTTCTTTAGTATTTAATTTTAATAAATTTCATATTTAATGTAATTTAATAAACATTTAAAATTATATATTTTTCTTAAAAAATATAATATTTTTAAACATAAAATTTTCCCCGATGAATTAATTTTTTTGGGTTCGTCACTGGGTTCAAAGATTAAAAAAGGACTTTAAAATTAAGAGATCCAATTAAAATTTTATATAAAATTAAAGGATCAAAAGCATAATTTAGCTATTTTTTTATACATGAGCAAGGAAAGCTAATAAAATACAACCACCCTACAATATAATACAAGAAAGAAAGGAGTGAGTTGCCATCAAGGGTAGAAAATATAGGCCAGCTGGCAACATTAGGGCATATTTCGTAATGAAATCTGTCACACCATTATCTTCTCAACAAATGTATCTAAGATTAACAATCCAACTAGTAAAGTACCCGTGCAATGCACAGGTTTTGTACTACAACTTTTATAAATAAGTGTTAATTTTATAGAAATTTTTTTCAAAAAATAACTTGTAACAGACACTTTCTTCATATCATTGTATATATAGTAGGGTTTATATAATTATTGTCTTTAATATTAAATATGCATGTTAGTGTTAAGAAAATGGAATGGTAAAAACTAAATGCATATAGTGTGAATGGATATGATGAGAAACAGGTTAACTATGAAATTATCAAAAAATTTCATATAAACAACATTAGAAATTCTATTCATGGATCAATCACCCTCATCAAGAATTAATATTTTTAAACCCTCCCTTCTTTAAACATAAGAAATAGCAAAGTATAACTGGTCATGGATGAAAATAGGACAAGGTGGGTACCATGGCACAGACTCTAGCCCTGGCTCTTATTAATGATCATTGCAAAGGCTAACATAATGAAAAAATTACTTCCTCATAGTAAATAGTAACCTGAAATCAGATGGACACATAGCAAAACATGGTATACATACTTCTATTCCTATAATTGGCCTAGATATTCTTGGGCCTCAATAACATATTTTTCAATTCGTAAAACTATGAGACATGTATATTTGTATAACCTCATAAACTTATCACTATTTTGCATTAAAATAATTAAGGCACTTACATTTAGCCTTATTTCATGATTTGGGAGGCTTGTCATTGTAATTGAATTTAAAAAATTTATAGAGTGCAACTTATTAAGTAAATTCATATCCCAATCATCTTTCACAACATTATAAGAACCCAAGTATACAATTTTCTCTTTAGGGAGCAAGGATATCATGTACTTATTTATGTTTTCAATCACAACCAAAGTAGGGCTATGATAGCCTTATCTTTAAAATATGAAGAATTATAGATATTGTTAAGGAAATCCAGGATATATGTTTATCACCATGGATTATCCAAATAGTTAGTTCATGTAAATAAATATAAAATACAGTTTTAACCCTATCATGTCCTTTGGTCACACACTTGAAAATAATCAAGAAAATATATCATGAAGAGCATTGATAGATGAATTTAAGAAGACATTCAATTAAAACACAACATAAACAAACTCCACATCACGCATGTTTATTCTTTCGTCTTCACGCATTTCACTATATTCGATATAACTTTATCATCACTGCTATCCAAAGCAAATGCCATGCTGCACAAATTTTTCATCTCAATTGAGTTGTCGTTGCATGATCACCCACATTTTCACATTTGTGAAAAAATCACCACCACTTGTTTAGTTTTGAACATGTTTTTGAGCTATTGACCTTAAAATAGTGCCACCACCCATATTACCAACCTCTAATAATACATGTGAAACATTACATCCCAATATATAACTAAAGGCTTATAAAAAAAGAATGGATAAATGCAAAATAGTAAAAGCACCAGCCAAGGTGCATAGACAAAATAGGCTCTTTAATGTTATAAATATTAATCAAAGCTAAAAGTGTGAAATGAAATAGATAGATCCATACCATTTATTTATAATTGGTATAATATTTATGCGAGAGGACACTTTGAATTAATACTATCAATAATATCAAATAACTAAATATTAAAATTTTAAGTTAGGAAAAATGATAATAAAATACCTTTGAATTATATAAATGACATTTTGGTTCCTCAAAATGCCATGATTCCCTTGAAATCTTGAGGGACTTTTCTATCATTAAGAATTAAGAAATTAATATAAATGACCAAATTTTTTTAATTCAAACTTGCCTGTGTTGTTGAATTCTTGCGAATTTTAAGAAGAAAATTTATGAATCTTGAAACAAAATTTGTGAATGACAATTAATATTTGAATTAAGGGTAATTTGATTATTTACATTAATTTCTTAATAACGAAAAAGTTCTTAAAAACTTCAAAAAATTATGACATTTTGAGGGACTAAAATGTTATTTATATAATTCAAAATGATTTTATTGTCACTTTTCCTTTAAGTTATTGTGCTAAAAATTAGAAAGTTAAAATTAAAGCCTGTTTTTATTAATTACCTTATTTTGACCATTCAAAATGGTTGAATATATTGATTGATATTATTAACTTATCTTACTCAAATTATAGTATTTCAAAAATTTCAAATACTTCTAAAAGATATGATTAATTTTGGAAAAATTATTTTTCCAAAGATACACAGCTTTGAGAATTTTTTAGATATTTAATTGCTATTTTTTTTCATTGTTAACTTATCTCGGATTAATATTTGAATTTCAAATCAAAATATTTACTAATTAAATAAAATTATCAATTAAAAAAATTACCATTAAATCAATGAACATATTGTTTGATTAGCTAATATAAAAAACACTATTAAACATATAATATAAATAATATTATTTAATTGATATACTATATGATTAAAATCATTGTTGTTAAATTCTTGTTTTGACACCTAAAAACATATGTATTTGTAGTTGTACCTCTTCCTTCTATGTTGATCTGAAGACAAACTCTAGAAGATTTTAAAAAAAATATAATGAGTACAAGTAAAATTGAAAAATTATTGTACCATCATGAGTGTAATGGCCTACTTACAAGTGTAACTATTGTATGACAATGGATGATTTTTACCTATTTTTTTATCTTTCTCTCTTTACTACATAATATAATTCATATTGTATTTTTTTATCTTTCTCTCTTACTACATAATATAATTCATATTGTATTTTATCAACCCCCATAGTCAATTTTTAAATGATTTTTCTTTTTGACTTTAAACCATAAAATAAACCCATGTTTAGCCTTGTCCATTCATGAAAGTAATAAAAATAAGAAAAAATTAC